AGGTACAAATACAATTAGTTGCACTGAGCAGTCAGTACATAGTCCTACCTTTACTCAACCTCAGCCCATCGTGAGGCAACTTGAGCTTAAAATCTAACACCAGTAAGGAGTATGTAATCGTGTCGCATTTCATTTATTTACAATCCATGTGTAACTTTTTGAGCTCGGATCCTACTCTTCACGCTTGAAGTGCATGTGCAGATAAAATATATGTATATATTTATGCGTACGTAATCCAATGGCATGTTCGGATTGTTTGAATGTAGTTTCGTAACAAATTTACACGTGTGCTCTTCTCACACAACGTCCATGCTTTCACCACGACATTTGTTGTGCTGTCACTGACACCTGCATATAAAACATTACCAGTTGAATATTCATACAACTTTCACCAAATGTGGGTGTGATTCATCGTTCCGAGTATTATTACAGTGTCCATAAACTTGCCTATCAACATGCCATTGAGATAGAGATAAAAGAAATTCATTGCTTTTCCTGAACACTAAACAACTTAACAATCTATGATAACACGTAGACTTAAATGCGTGAGGATGATAGTGTGATCACTTTCCCAAATCAGGATGTGTGTTTCGGCTCCCTGACCTTTCGTCATACTACAGCCTCACGAATGCAACACAGCACAATTACACCTGTATATATAAACCTTGCTATGAAAGACACAATGTTGCACACCAATGACAATGCAACCATTCATGTTTTGCTCTTAATGATTTCTCTTTTTTATTATTATAGTTATATGTACGAGGGACGATTTTTATTTAGATGGCCTGACCATCAAGGAGCAACAAATTTGGGGTACTTGCCATACTACTTTTCAGTGTAGTCCCCTGCGAGGTCAACACTCTTGGTCCGTTAAATTTAAAATACTTCATCCCGGTTTTATGACTAGGTAACTTTCAAAAACAAAGTCAAAACCGCTGATTCCACCTTATGTGTCGTCGAAATCTCCTCCCCCTGAGTTTTTTTTAAATGTCGAAATACACAGGAGTTATCAGAGGCCAGGTGTGGACTGTAAGGGGGATGAAATTAGGGCATTTTTATAATTTGGCATTTTTAGGCTTAAAATGACACCCTTCGAAAGTTTGTATTTTTTATTGAAAATTCGGTGTCAGCGTTTTCGTGGGAAACGCGATTTTTGTTCTCGTATTATCTCTACAATAGCTTCGGTTAAAAATTCAAAATTGTTGTATAATAGGCACCAGGTTTGGCGGTTTTCGGAGCCGCAACGTCCAATACCAGAAGTCCTTCTGAGTCCCAAAAACTGTAGTCATTACCAAAATAGCAATTTCAGCATCACCATTACTCCTTTGTGAGTGTATGCTTCCACTGCTTGCTTCTTTTCTTACTATCAGTGCCACAAAAATGAACTAAGGTTCATTCCCCAGTGACTAAATGAAAAAAGAAGTACACGTTTACGTTTTGAAGGTCAAAATATACGTAACAAACCTTGGCAAAATTTTATCGGTTTTGCCTGTTTCGCGGTTTTTGATCACATCAGACGATCTCCTCGACTCGGCCGTGATCATGAATTTTTAAGCTATGAGATCTGAGATACATATAAGTTTATCTCTCACGCCAACAAAAAAAGTGGGGCAAAATAACCCTTCAAGGTCAGAACGGATACTTTCTGCGGTCCCCTCGTAGGATGGAAATTGGATTGAAATTGGTCATTCAATACTTGTGCCTTAATGGCACAAGTAGTTAGCTGAGGAACATTATCCAATATTGTGAGTGGGATGAACCAAATCTCTTTTCGATAACTACGGCTCCCACCCACTTAGGAAGTTAGTCTACTAATATCTGACCCAATTTCGAGTGCATACATACACTACGATATACGTACATACATTGTACATTCATGGGCCCACGACATTGGTGGCCCCTCTGCATTTGACATCATGTTATGACTTGATTCAATTCGCAGTTTCTGTTAAAAGGAAAATTGTACGAGTTTCACAGGCTCCATTTTCAACTCCCCATTTCCCATTTCCCATTTTCATTATCTTTGACGTCAAATATATCAACTCTCGTTTGTCGATCCCCATATTTAGCACACGTCGAAATAATTTAACAAATTTTTCGCCTGTTGTATTGGAAGGGTTATCAAATTTTTGCTAAAACTGTTGCCAAAATACGAAAGAATAGATGACATAAATAATATCAGCCATAATAACGATTCCACATGAATACTTGTCAACTGGAAGGAATATTGGCAGAGACAGTAAGAGCGAGTAAAATAAATAAATAATGGTTTCCACTTGAATAAAAGGCATCCAGTTTTTCCGTTCTATGAGATTAAATAAATAATTGACAAACTTGAGCTCAAATAATAGAAATTGAAATGTCAGAATAACGGAGGTTAAACTAACTCCGTGTCATTTCTGAAGCAAAAGTGAAATTGATATTAAACTTTGAATTGGCTTTGAACGGGTAGCAGAAATTATCTTTGATGATTGAGTTCTAAAAATGTTATTTGAGATTAAATCGCAATTTAATTCAGCAGCAGAATTGTTTTTCAATTGGCGTAGGCTATGTACATATGTCTCAATTCAAAGATTAAAATTACACAAGATCAAACACTCTTAAAATGAAGTCAATAAAAACGGATCTGTCAACCAATCTGATATTGGCAAATATTAATGGTGACCCTAAATGACTGAATGGGATACCCTAAAAACTAAACCCTACGGTGGACTGAATGGCCTTCCCTAACTTGCCAATAACCATCCTTATTTTTCTTAAACTTTACCCTAATGTCCCAACATATTTTATTTAACTAAATTATACACACTAAATAAAAATAAGTAAAATTTACTCAAAGGTGAATAAAAAAAGATGCCTCTACCAAAAGGTAAAAATAACCAACTTTGTGCAAAATTTCCCACCCGTTGGACAAATTTTACGTAAATAACTTTGGACAAATCGTGCACAATGGTTGGATAAATTTTACCTTCTGGTTGTGTCGTGCACTTTTTCTTTTACTCAACCTTGAGTAAATTTTACTTATTTTTATTATAGAGTGTATGTAGTTCCTATGCACAGACAAAAGGGCAAGAATCAAATTGGGTAATTTCTCCATTAATGTAATTGTCAAATATTTGAAAAGCAGCGTACAGATATTTGTGAGCATTTAATCAGAGTAGCATACATCCGCAGAGATTTTAATATCTCTGGTACTCGCAAAAATGTACCTCTTGGGTTAAGACGTTGACCAGTGAGCATAAAGAAATGCAAGCGAGCCCTTGTTGTTGACTAATTTTTTTTATTATTTAAGAACTAATTCTAAGAAATGGTTGTAATAAATGATAATCGAGATGTAATTGTCCTAAAAATGATGTAAATCAACGATTTTAATTATCAGAACTTTAGGGTCGAGATTCAGTTGTTAGCTATTATTTTCGACCTGTTAGGGAAGGCCATTCAGTCCACCATAGGGTTTAGTTTTTAGGGTATCCCATTCAGTCACTTAGGGTCGCCATTAAATGCGACCCTATTTCGAGACATATTTATCTTACATACATGACGTGTTGGAGGAGGACAATTTAAATCAACTATTTGAGCTAAGCACTCCATGTCTAATTTTGTTAAGTTCATCAGACAAACTGATATAATAAAAATAGTGTAATAATCTCCTAAAATACGGGTAGTGTCGTAGTGTGCTTAATAATTGGGCATTCGTTGTTAAAAAGTATTAATTATTTTCATTGTTTGGCGTTATTTTTTTGAAGCTACAGAAATCTCATTGAAACTGTTTCCAATGAAGGCATGGGGTATAAAGTGATTTTTTCTTGATAAACTGGAAAGTTTATTAGAGTGTAACAGCGCAGAGACGAACTTTCGTCTGAGTGAAAATCCACCTTACTGAATGTTTGGATTCCGGCTCGTGTCATCCATAAACAAGATTTTTTGATGAAATCTGTTATAAATTTTCTTAAACTACATGAAATTACCTAAAAGATGAGTTATTTCTGATCAATTTTTTCCCACCCGTGCCCTTAAAATCAATGGCTGACCGAGCTGCACTTTACATATGGGATGCACTTTATAAGACCATTATTGATAATTTCTAAAAAGGTTTTGGTGACTTCAAAGGGTCCCTCCACATAATAATTTTCCCAATTCCAGTTCATATTCTTCCATTAGGTGCGAGTAGAAACCGCTGTACCAAATTACAACTTGATTTGATGATTTTGAGAAATGGTGACCCCATAGGGTCCCTCCAGATTAAAATTTTTCCAATCTGAATTCATATTCCCCCATTAGGAGCCACTAACAATCTGTATGCCAAATTTCAGCTTTCTATTACAATTTTGAAATCTGGTGCATAGCACCCCACCCACTTAGCTGACCCCCACGGGTAAATCATTTGACCGACTTCGCCCACCTTCGAACTCGTTTCCTAACTTTGTCCAATACGAATATAGCAAAATTGCAAGTCTATCGTATTCACGGACAGACAGCTATGTACAGTATGTAACAGAAGTCTAGCTACGATGTCAAAATTTTTATTTCGACATGATGCCGTAATGTTTCAACTCTGGAACTCCTTACGAAAATGTCAAAACTATCTACCGACAGTTTCCTCGTCGCCGATTTTTAATGTCGCAGATAGGTCAAAGATCAGATTCACCACCATCACGCACCCCCTAAAACGCACCCCCTTGGCTGTATGTAGGCGGCGGTCAAGGTTTTCGAAGGGGGGGGGGTGAATGCATACTAAGGTGTAAATGTAACCATAGTTTTTTACCTCACCTTAGAAAAAGCTTTTGTATCGAATGTGGTTGAATATAGATCATTTAACACAAAGCTGGGGAACCATACATACAAACCAAATAAAGCTAGATAATTCACCTCTCTTGTATGGGTACATTCATATGATAAAAACGATTTGTTACTTAATCAGTTGAGTGATAATCGTGGTTAAGTATATGTACGCACGCTATTCCCAAGGTCTGCATACAGCTGTCATAGTGTACATACCTACGTAATATTTGTAATCATGACAACGTAGAAATTTGCGTGAATAACATTGTAATATTTCGGTACATTTGCGTCAGTGCATCCGTCCAATTTACAGTGCAACAAGTATAATTTTTTGAATTAAATTGCATAACTTCAAGTTTAAAAATGGCAAAAGTTAAACACAAAATAGACCCAAGATCTCGTAATGGATCCAAAATTAAACAACCGGAATCCATTAAATCTGAAAAATTGAAGGGACGAATTTCTCTAAAAGATATGGTATAAATTTGCTTAATTAAATTTCTGAACAAATTTTGGTTGAATTTTAATTTTCTTTAAGCGTTGTGATGTCTGTGGGGACAAAGTAAAAGCTCAAAATTACGGAGGCATTTCTTGCAATTGTTGCCGGTCGTTTTTTCATTATTATGTCATCAATAAAGTCGAGGATCCCACGTCCATCCAGCATCTTAAGAGGAATTGCAAATTTGAAAATGATTGTGTAATTGACAAAGTTACGAGAAAAAAGTGTAAAACGTGCCGATTCTTTAAATGTGTAACTATTGGAATGTCACCGGCTTGGGTGTGGAAGGAGTATGAAAAAGCAAGGGAGCTTAAGCAACAAAGAATGCAGACAAATGTTTTCTTCAAGAAGAAGAATAAATTATTGAGCGATGACGATACTAAAAAAATAACAAATTTATCAAAATTCTATCAAACTGCGTGTGAATTAATTCCCTACACTTTTCTAACCCGAGAAGAAAACGAAGTCTTGACCTATACTAAAATACATTTAATTGATATTGGCCGATTGTCTACGGCAATTAGAAGGTGAGGAACTCTAAAGTTATTTTTAAAGGGTGAACTCAGGGCAATTTCTTCATTCGTGAAAACATCTATTAAATTTTGCAAATTAATACCTTACGATATACCTAATGCCCATTTGCTGGATAAATTTTCAACAAAAAATCTACCTTTTCGAAATTGCGACGAAATCGCCACTTTTTGAAATTAAGTTACTTACATGCAAGTCAATTATGTAAATGTGATAATTTTTCCTACCCTCAGGTTCGTATGTTTTGCAAGAATGCTTCCCGAATTTGCAAGGCTTGGTTTGCACGATCAAGCCAATTTATTGAGACGATCTGTCGTAGAAATGCTCCTTTTACGAGATGTGATCCGAAAATACCCGTATGAGAGTCGTAAGGTCGGATTGGATAGGGGAAAGTTTCCTGAACTTCCCGTTCTCACGGTAAGCGTTGTTTAAATCAGTACAAGTAATTTAACTGTTTTTACTCTTGTTTAAACTGGCGAGATTTAAGCAAGCATGAAGTGTGCATTATACAGGAAGACGAATTTATATCCGTAATTCCAAAGCACGTGATGGAAATGTATTACACGTTGTACAAAAGAATTCGAAGCATAGCCCCCGACGAGGAAAGCATCATGCTTCTCATCCCAATAGCGTTGTTCTCGGACTCTGGTGGAAACGAGAATTGTACCGATTTTGATGACCGACTAGCAATAAATTCGGCACAAGAACTGTACACCGCATTACTGGAGAAATATTTAAAGTCAACGCAGGGAAGGGCCAGGGGAAGGGTGCTGTTTCCCAGGGTAAGTTTCCGAAATGATGTTAGAAATTTCAGCAACCAATTTTGAAATTTATTGAGATGTTTCAAATTTTTTTGGAAATCTTTTCTTCCAAATTGCGCATTTAATCCTAAAATGTTTACAAACTCGGTGTCTAAATTATGAGTCAAAAAACATGTGTGCATATGCATATAAAAATTTGGAAATTTTCCAGGAAATTTATTTTGTCTCCTTAACATTTAACATTTAACATTTATCTCCTTAACATTTTGGAGCTTTTCTACCTTTTCTGAACGAACCATAACAAATAAATAAATTTATCCTTTACACAGTTGCTATCACAACTTAGCGCAGTTACGGAAGCCAGCCACCTTCACCAGGGTCTCCCCCTCAACATGAGCGACGATCAAGTTGATAAAATGCATAAACATTTGCACCAACTTCAGTTAAAAACTTGTGAACAACCTGTGAATAAATATAATCAGGATCACTCCAACGGAAAACCCACGGAACAAATCGGAGAACAAAGGGAGTGCTGCAAGAAATCTGTCCCACTTAAAAAACCTGTTTCAAAAACGGATAGTTCGAAATGGGAAGTTCCCACAACACCGGAACCAGCATCGGAAACACTGCCCGCATTGATTCACACTTTTGTCAGTATATCTAATGAATTTGGAATTAAGCAGGATTATTTTGAGTCAGGCCCCCATGTCGGCGTCGAAAAAGCTTTTATGCGTAGAATGCCACAACTTTTGAAGAATCCGTGGGATTCTTTGGTCAATGAGGTGGACAAATTAGTAATTTCAGACTGTGGGACATTAGAAAAATGACGGTGGAAAAATGATAAATATATGTAAGCTCTCTAAGCACAAGTAGTGCAAACGTAAGTAGCATGTGGAAGGGTGTGAGACATATTTATTTTATTCTTGCGTGGTATATAATTTTAGTTTCAACTTAACGATTCAACTCTGTGGACACATTTTTTAGGATGGTTTTTGCTTGCTTCCCGTAACTGACATGTGGGAGGCCATAAATTCATGGAAAAAATTTTAGTGTCAAACATGGTATCAAAAATTCAGCGGGCAGTGCGGTGATGCAAATAATTTTATGGTCATTTTAATAAATTTATTTTAAACTTTTCGTTGCACTGTATCGCTTCACCTAAGCATCTAGTTTTTTCGGGTTTAGTTTATTCACTCTGATTTCGATCACTTCCTTGAAATTGTATCAGTACGATGAGGTACGTTGTAACGGTGCCAACAATCTGTAATATTAGTTAAGTGGTTTCAAAATTATTATTGCTACATTACTGCTATTTACATAAATACGTATAATACCTTACCGTGGTCATGATCCTAAGATTTATGTCAAAGAAGCCCATATTGACTTGGATCTTTCCAGGATTTGCGATCATACTAAATTTCTAAAAAAAATATTTCCAGACGTCATCTGTTACTTCCAGAATTTTTGTTATATAAATATCTACATATTTCGCACCCATGTGTATTTACAACCCAACGCTTCTTTTGAATGTATAAATGCACCCGAGTATGCTTACTCTGGATTTAGTATGGTTTATTTAACACAAAATTCAGACTGCATTTACTTTTCAAAACGGCAACATTATTTTCAAGAGTGTATACATAATATTTAAATACCGTTCGATCCATCCATCTAAGTATGACCTCCAATTTCCTCACAATTTCTGCACTCTCCTCTTCAATTTCTAACCCCCTCTTACAAACCGCATAGATCAGGTAAAAATATAGCGTCACCGTCATTCCATCATGACACAGACCGGACACTGTGTACACCGTATTCTTTGCCATTATAGCTATATAATAAGCCGAGATGATGATTCTTGTCAGACTGTGGATCATATCGATGATAACCCAAAATCGAAAAGTCTTATTGAAAAGGTGCACTTGTTCGGCAAGACGCGCATACAAAGTCAGAATTTCGGTCATAGAATCGATTTTCATCGAATTTACAATTTCACCGAATTTCAGCCCAATTAATACCTTGATTTCGAGCAAAAGCTCCAAATACCAGTTCAAGTAGTACAACACTACCAGTGAAAATACGGAATGTAAATATCCTATAGTTGTGGGTGTTACCCGGGCAAAAAACTTGGCTGGCGTAATACCCAGTTGGTGCCAGGTGACCAAACCAACCTCAAAAATTCCGCAGGTTATAAAACCCAAGAAAATTATGAGCTGAATTAACAATTCTTTTGTAAATTTGTTGCTATTACGGTAATTTTTGCCACTAATTGTTCTCAGAGATTTGGACAAAATTTGAATTTCTGTGAGCAACCCGTGCATGCACTTTCTGTTCAGGAACATTCCAATTTTTACGAAGGACGCACAAAATAAGTGAATCGCTGATTTGAAGTTCCATGTCACGTAGAAGGTGGACGTTTTAGCGTAGCGTTGAATCGAATGGACAGATTCGGCCGATTTAGATGTGTGATTTTCGCGTTGTAAAGTAATCAGGGGCACGATTATAAGAAAAGTGACCAAAGTGTAGAACAATGTGGGTATAATTGATAAGGTGGATGATAAGCGGTTAAAGTAACGGCTGTACAATATTTTCCACCGATGTGTGGGTAGTTGAGGAGGTGATGAAATACATTTGGTTGAATATTCAAAAAGTATTTGGTTGTCAACCATGGAGAATGGGAAGTATCCCAAAATTTTAAAAATTGTGGTTTGGAAATTATCCATTTTATTGTTAATTGAGGAATGTAAACATGTATCTATGCATGTATGTATGTATGAATGTACATATGTATCTGCAATCCGATAATCCGATTTAATGAAATATTTATGAATGCAAGTATTAACTAATCCCGCAAATAGAATGCAAAGGATAATCGGCCAAATGAAATTTTTTCACTCTATATTATTACAATTTATGTATTTAATCTAGTTAATGGTTTTGTATACTTAGCACATAGTTCTAGAATACCATTAACATTATTGCATAATTAATTAAATTTTGTAAATCCCTTACAAACTTAACTTGTACATGCATAAACTTAAACGCAAACTTTTCAGAGAAGAGGGGACATTTTATTTTCAGTTACACAAACTTATGCATGTATGTACCCCGCGGTCCAGCTTAGGATTATCTTATCTGGCTACTATTACTATGAATGCATATCACATTAAAAATGCGTTAAAATGCATTTTTACCGAGTTAAAAAAAGGTAAGCAGCACATTGACCGTGTTATCAATCACGGATTTCATGCACGAATTAAACGTATCCATTTCAAAGTGGTATGCCGACGAGACATTAATTCGTACACACCGCAGCGACATTTCGACCTTTTTCCAGAATCTCGTCTGCATACATGACGCCATATTTTGCTTCAAACGAGCCGAACCTTCATAAATTTCTGCCGCCGCTTTGAAGCAACTGGTCTCAAAGTAGGTAAATGCAAATACGCTGAGAAATAGGGTGAACCGGATCGGCGTGGGTAAATGTGCCAGCACTTGATTGTGACGACATTGACCAGGACGTGAATGGCGCAGAGGACATGTTGCGTAATTGGCCATAAGATAGCGGAACAGGTCTCGGTGTGGAGGCAGTTTAGCACGTGCAAAATTTTGTAAAGGGACACATTCTGAGACACCATTCTCCTACTTCTGTGGATATCTTTAGGATGAGATTTGTTGCTAAAATGTACAGTTTTACTATTTTAAAATTGACATTTAAAGCATGGAACACTAAATCTTGCCTTGTTAAGTTCTTGACTCACCACAAGAGTTGCAACCAATTTCGCGTAGTTTGGGCATAAATGATCAACTGTACAGCAGTGTAACCTGAACCAAAGATGGCCACGTAGCTCAAAAGTAGCTCAATTAGGGCAAACAGGGTGATTCCTTAAATATTTAACATTAATTGCTTAATATCAGGTAATTTTGTACTTTTAAATTCAATGGAAGGGTAATTTTACCAATTTTGCCGTCATATAAATCCCCCGGTAAGAGTCTGCTCCCCCAGTAGCGCACGCTGTGGCGTTCCTCCAAATGTTGCAGGGTTGGTCCGATCGGTTGAATGTGAACCGTTATTACGCCAAACGTCACATAAAACAAGCCATCATCCACACCATTGTTTTCACCGGGGTAATACTCTCCTTCAAAGGGAGAAATTAAAAGTATTTGTTTAAGGTTTTTAGAATTAATGAAAACACATTGCCCTTCACGACCTTCGTAACGCCGGGTTTAGACTTCACGTTAGCATCACGTTCTCCTCCCAATCCGATTTTTTGATTGGGTAATCAAAAATATCACTAAATATCACTAAGACAATTAAAAATTTCGACCAATCAAAAAATCGGATTGGGAGGAGAACGTGATGCTAACGTGAAGTCTAATCCTGGGGTAACTGTGGATTGGTAAGAAAATATTTGGTAATTTACAAAGTATTGACGTTAAAGACCTTCTTAAATACGCAGTATTCCCTTAATTAGTGTTACAAGAACAACTTGCTGTAGCGAACCCAGTTCATCGAATTTCGAAAAAATAAGTTCATAGCTGAAAGGCCAATGAAATTTCATGTAGGAAACACTATTCACTTATCAAAATGTCAATCTCATAAGGCGACGCGAGCTCGGAGTCTTGGTGTACACCACTCGATCGGAGTACGCATGCGTTCCAGCGGAGATTGATCTCATTTCTATACCGTTGAATTTTTTATGGATTCCAAACTTGTGTGGGGTTTAGCACAGACACCTAGCTCCAGTTTGAAAAATATGTCATACTCCAGCAGGTTTAGGTTCGGCGCCAGTGAATTTTTTCTTGATCCAAAAGGGAGTCAGGAATTTGGGAAATTTATCACCCAATTGCTATTTTGACCTCATGAGCAGGACCTGAGCCTTGTTTGAATGTCATGGCGCTATTCTTGAATAGGTAGTGGTTCAGTGGTTCTACAATTCGCTCGATAACTTGCAAAAATAATTTTTGATACAAAATTTCACCCCCAGAGGAAGAAAACCCACTTTTTCAAACAAATGCAACTTATCTCCAATAAAAAATCGTAAAACCAGGATGGTAGGTACGATCAACATTTTTGAAATTTTAACGAATAGCCCAGACTTGTAGTGTGTTGAAACGGAATTTTTGCTATTTTATTTGGCCTCATCCATAAAGCTGGGATCATCTGTTGAAAATATCATTTTCCAGTTTCCAAGCGCGTACCGCATGATCAGCGTCAGGGGTCTAATGGGTCTGTTTTTACTTGGCGAGTAGCTAGGAAGTATTTCTCCTCAAATCTTGAAGACATAAGTCCAAGGTTTAGTTTGAGGGCTCTGGACTTACATTTACTTCATCCGTTAATTTGTGAGGGAAATTTTCTTAGCGCTCGGCATGAATTCGGAGGAATTCATTTTTTCGTGACTTGGTTAATTTTGGTGACCTTTTTGACCGTCTCCTTCCACTTCTTTTTTGGTCATGGACACTATTAGTGTCAGTGCACCATTTTATCGTACGGTCGACCACCTTGCAATCAATCCCGATTTTTATTGCGCAATTTAAAAATGTCGGACTTTTTTGTTTACCAAAATGTTGTTGAAAAATTGCAACACGCCATGTTTGCTGACCTATCAATTTATTACCTTGGGTCACAAAAGTTTTTGAAACATGGTTTCTGACGGAAAATTGCATAGGGATTTTAATAAAAAATAGTACAACTTTCTCAAAAATTGTCTTGCCAGCTTAATTTACCCAGGAAATCTTGTAACAGCAATTGAGGGAGTACTAGGTACATAATACTTTCGTAAAGGCCTTTAAAAAAAACTCAATTTATCTTTACCCAACAGTATCCTGTAATCATGGTGATCGAAATTTATTGACCTTTATTTCCTACGAAATATTTTTACCAAAGAAAAAATACGCATCAATCTAACGTATATGTACTTTTTTTACGAAGCTTCGTACATAACATAAGCATATAATTATTGTTAATGTCCTAAATTTACGTTTCCCACAGTTACAAAGGGGACGTGAAAATCCGCACTATGTTTCGATTAATATGTAAACTGTTAAAACTATGAAATCTGATACCTTTCAATTTTTCATGCACCTTACACACCTGATTGATCAGATGATTAGCAGATTTGAAATTATTGACAAACCACCCGATCACGATGCACGCGGCGATGCGTGAAATTCCATGAGATAACAACTTCATCGTCGTGACGGGAGTTAATCCGCGATAGTTTTCGGTACAAATGGTCACCGTGAGGTAGACCGTGTCCGCGGTGAGGTAGGTTTGCATCATAGCCCAGAGAAAGATGCGAATCCGACTTTTTTCGAATTTTACAGAGTGGGAAGTATTGTCCCAAAAAATGGGGAGGAAACAGCATCTTTGACACGTTTTGTAGTACAAATGTAGAAAATATTGCCAATTTGAAGTTGTCATGATGAATACGATGTAAATTATTATTTAACTGCGTTTATTTAAACTAAAACCGGAAAGTTCAGCGTTTTCAGACCGTCTTCTTACGATTAGATTCTTAACCTTTACAATCACAGAAAGTTGTCAACATCGTGTGGCTCAAACCAGTTATTGTAAGTTTACAAATTGGATTGCAATTAATTTCCCTCTGAGAAAACAATCTGATTGTTTACATAGAATCGAGAGGAACTTGAGTATGTTTTTTAATTAAGCTGAGTATTGTGTCATCCGTAAATTTTGAAATGCTTATTTTACAGCATGGTCCATACATAAATCGTATCGTAATGCATGTTGTAACCACTCAACCCATACTCGCTCGTGTGCTCCCTCTGGGAAGGAGCAATGCATCTACGTGCATAAGTGAAGAAGTAGTGATGTGGCATTGAAGGCGGAGTTATTTTGTAGACATTTGTAAAATATAAAGTCGTGTACATTTCTAAATGACAGTCAGTAATAAATCGACCTTCGGACGAATAACGACCTTCTCCATCCTCCAGCCAGCACTTATTACCAGGCCATACCCGCTGCCATCATAGTCATCTTATCATCATCACATCATCATCATCAGCATCAAGGGCCATAGGGCGAGCGAGGACTGGGTCAACAGGGTAGTAGAGTAAGGGGACATTGGGACTGAGCCACCCAGTGAAGGGAGAGAGGTTTCAATGTTTGCCCACCTGTTTGGAAATACTATTTGAAGTTGTTGATGTAGAGACATTGGTTGGAGGAAAATTACTTTGAGATACATAAATACGTATGTAGGTAAATATGTACATGGATTGTAATTGCTGAAAATTTACCGACAAACGCGTAAGGTGATTTATTTAAAGGCTTTTTGTTTAATTTTGGACAATAGTACCAAATTTTGCTAAATAAAGACATGCTTAATCGACATTTATTTATTTATAAATTGAAAATCACACAAATGTACATACATAAATACTTTTGTGTATAACATGTTTCATAAAATTTGTAATATTTCTCAATACATATTATGGATAAATAACTAGATTGAAAATTCTTAATGGTAAAATAAAATCACTTATTTTTTGAAGTCTCAAAGCTAAGTCTCCAAATATGGCACATTTTATTAAAGGTCATAATCTAAAGTTCGTTTCGCGTAATTGTGGAGCGGGTATTTTCCCCTCCTTCAATTGATTTTCGTACTTTTTCCTGCAGATCGGATCCTTTCTTTACAGCGTCAAGGTAAGTTCTGAGCAGATCCTCAGTTTTTGTGTGAGATGCTTTAATCACGTCGATAGTCTATATCTCGGTAACATTCAGATAAGTATCTCAACAGCAAAAAAAACAATAATAAGCACATTTACCGTGTCATGGAAAATGTGCAATTTTGCCATTCCTCTAAACGAATAGGCAGCCGTGGTGTAACCCAGTTTTTGAAATTCAGCCCGAGTGGAATTCTGGCCAATTAAGTCTGGAATAGTTTCCTTTACAATTTTCCTAAGATCGTATTCCAATTTTTGTCGGAAGTCTGAATTTTTTTCTGTCTACAAATATTGAATTCAAATTAAACATAAAATTTTTAATACGTATGGAAGTACATGTATCCATCGATTTAAAAATGAAATTAAAACAATGTTTTAATTCAAACGCGAATTGCCAATTTATAAATTTTTAAAATTATTCTACAAACTTCCACAAAAGAAAAAGATTCCCTTGACCATCTTTACAAAAACAACCTAATTTTCTCTCGAAGCACTTATAAAATTTTGTAAAGGTTTGTAAGTTCACAGAATTTACGGATTTTACAATGTTACCTAAGACCTTCGTGAATTGTCTCAATATCACGCATTAGATTTTTAACGTAGCGACAAAAAAGCTAAAAGTTGCCAACAATAAATTTTTAATTCTATTTTTAAAATACAAGAGAAATTAAGAATTGTAATACCAAAATATTATTCCGCAGCCCTTCCTTATACTTTTGCAAAAGACTCAGCAAAACATCCATGTTCACCGTCACGTCTAAAAGTTGATCCACTTTCTGAGACGGGAGAACGATTAAGGGCTCCACTTCCATTTTGAGGTGGGCCAACAGACTTGCCTTGGCCCACTCTTCGTCAAGATCTTGAACTTTCTAGAGCAATTCTGCAGCTTTTTTCATTGCGTCATCAACTTCGTTTACGTTCTTAATTGAGGAAGCCTGAAAAGTTTCGACAGAAGACAGGTAAAAATGTGCATGCATCGATACGCGGGAATAGGCGTACTCAAGGCAACTCATACTGAACTGCTCAATTTACATTCATAGGTACATATAATTTACAATACTACTGTTCGTTCAAAATTAATATGCAGGGAAGTCCTCAAAATATTTTAAAAGGTAAAATGACATAAGCTGCTGATTTAATTGTGCATATTTATTCTACTTTTTAACTAAAAATCAGGCGAAAGTAAGAAAATTAAAAAAAATCGAGTCATGGAAAAAAATCTTCCGCCAAATAACCTTTCAGATTTTTTACTGCATATTAATTTTGAATGAATAGTAAATAGATATTGTAACAAAACAATGGTAAGACAAACCGATTATGGTCCACATGCATTTTTATGTATGTATGTATGTAGGTATATAAAGTTTACATGAATCGTATCCAAACATATGTACACGTTCCATAATGTACATACACGTAAATTTAAAGTTTGTACACACGTAGAGAGCAACACACTTACCATTCTTTCTGCAAAATCGTCGTTTTTTGTTATATCAAAGACTTCTGGATATTTTCCCCGAATTTCGTAAACTTTAGACAACATTTCTTCTTTAGGAAATTTATTACTTTCAAAATCCTCCAGAGTCTTCGTGATTGCGGAGTTAAAAGCCGTATGGATACCGATTGCTTTAGAAAAATCTTGCTGCAGTTTTTCCCCCTTTTCAAAATCAAAGACTGCTCCGATTTTTGTAGCCTGAAAAATAAAATTGATAAATGTCCTTCAAATTTTTTTGAAAAAACTTCAATTTATAAAGTCAAAACATTAAGCTCACCTCATTCAATAACTCTTTCGCCCTTTTGTTACAATCTAATAAAAATTCTAAATTTTCCGCAAAACTAAAACTCTCCGAGTTTTCTAAATCGGCGTGTTTTAACTTAATATTTTTTAAAACGAGTTCCAACCCTTTCAGTTTATCGCCAACATTTTTATTTTCACGTGACCACTGTTTTTTAAATTTTATTTTTTCTTCCTCCAAATCAATTCCTACCCCGGGCCCGGCCCCATTGTCGAAATCGGAAGGTTTTAAAGTTTCAAAAATTTGTGCAACCATTTCATCAACCTCGGATGGAGTGAAGGATTGAGATTTTGGATACTTTTCTTGTTCATCTCCAATGACTGGGTTTATTTGGAACAGTACACTTAAATACGTGACTATTATTTTTATTTTCATGTTTGTGAGTGCGATTAAAAAACGAAATAAAAATGTTGCACAGTTGCAATTTTGTGAAATCTGGGTTAGTGCAGTAAAACTATTGCAAATGTCAGTCAGATGATCTTGACCTGACTCATCGATGCAGAAAAACTTGCATGGAAACTGCAAAATAGTTTAGCAGGCAAGATGTGCATACGTATGTATTTATGTACACATGGTTTTATTTACATCTATAAGCTACATTAGCATACATGTTTAACCAGCCTGTAAAAAATAAGCATGTTTCATAGCAGTCTATCTAAGGATTCGCTTGCAAATACGTAACACTTATGGACTGGAATAAGATGATGTTGACCAGAAGTTGAAGCTATGCTATCGTTCATGTGTGTATTCCATACATACCTAGTATGTATTATGGACGTACATACATATGCACATACATATGCATACATATACATAAAGCTTGCTTGCGAAATAGTGGTTCTGCAAATCCAGCCTCGCATTAAAACGTATTTACATACATACGTAGCGCATGTATTAAAGTACATTTTTAGTATGGGATGATGAATTGTTGAATAAATATACATGTTTTATGCTATTTTCACTTATGATATTTTTATTTATGGCAATATATTTACAGTACATACATACGTACATAGATATATATTTAGAATGATGGGTTTATAATGAGTGTGCATACAGGGCAGACTCATACATATGTAGTTATGTTATAAGGATCTGGCCTAAATTTAATGCACCACTTAATTAGCTGAAAGCTCCCACTTTTTTTGGCGGAACCTCCCACTAGCTGAAATCCTCACTATGTCGGTTTTTTTAGCCACCCAATTAGCTAGTGGTAGCCACTCGTTTATCTGATTTCTCACTTAAAGTGATTATGCAAAAATTCTCATAAAAAAGCTCAAAAATTTTATTTCTGATGTACATTTAAAAACCTATCAGTACAGCTTTGCTTACCCCGAACCAGGGGTGATTAGTAAACCCATGTTTGTCAGTAGTTTTATATAAAATTATGTTCTACTTTTTTGCACTAATTCTTGCATCAATCCTTCGTATTACTAGGCTCCAAATTCTAAAAAAAAATATTTACTATCCCTTCCCCCTGAGTTCCCCCTGACTACTTCCCAGTGGAAGTCGTCCCTATAGCCCATCTGGTTAATTTTTGTTCATGTTTAACTTCATATTATTTCATGAAACAGCGTAAGGATTTCTAGTCCAAATAGATTTCTGTGCCAAATTTCAGCTTTCTACTATAATTTTGAAATTTTGGTGCATGATACCCCACCCACTCCGATGACCCCCACCGGTCAACCACTAAACCGATGTCGCCCATCTTCGAACTCGAGTTGTGTATTTGCATAGTCTAGATGTGTGGAAAATTTCAAGTCGATCGGAAAAGTTTACAGAGAGTTATCGTCGGACAGACAGACAGACAATACGGGTACATAAGCCCTGGTTCGGGCTAAAATTTTACATAACAATAAGAGCCTTGCGAGCTCGAGCAACCCTTCCCCTCTTGCGTTTTTGACCTAAAGGTACGGTTTGGCCTCTGCGCGAACTTCGTGTAATTTTTCCTGAATTGCTAGTCGGATTATATGCTTACAAATGTGTTCCTTTATGAAAATGGGGCAAGTGCATGAGGATTTCATCCACTCATCAATGAATTTTAGCAACCATAGCCGGGAGATACAGGTTGTGTAAGTTTCAAATGATCTCCAGGAATTATTGAAAGCATCTGTCTCTCCTTTAAGTGTAATTCTTGGGGATAGGGTAAATATTTTGCAATTTATGTTTACTGGGTCACGTTCCAATGACCACAATTCTCCTTGCCTTAGCATAAACGTTAAAAATTCTGCCATTGGTAGCCTTTCTCGTAATGTGCTTTGTCTCTTAATCCATGAACACTCTTAGAAAAATTTTTACTTTTTTGAAAAGTAAGAGCACTTTTCACTAGAAATGAAGTAATGGGAACTAAATCCAAAGTAAACTTTACTTTCAATAAAGTACGCGTTACTCTGGATTTAGTACCCATTACTTCATTTCGAGTAAAAAGTGCTCTTACTTTTCAAAAAAGTAAAACTTTTTCTAAGAGTGAATTGGTTGATTTTAAGGCATTATTCGTTGTTGGGAATCCACAAGCATATCCCTCTTACCCAGTTTGATCCAGCCATTCTTCGTTAAAGTAGCGTACAAAGTTTTCACTTCCATGAACCTTGTGCTTTTTTATCCATAATTTTGTTGCCGCGGCAAATTCGATTGGTGATCTCGCTAATTGAAGCTGGGTGATATCGCTCCTAAGGGCCATCCACGTGGCTGCGTCTGTAACTAAATTTAGCTTTGCGATCGGATCTAAGGATCTGACATAAATACATATATCCAAGAATCGGAATTAAATGTACATACATACATATATAGTTAGCATCATTCATTACTATGCGTTTGTATGTGTATTAATATCAAGAGATACTTTTAAACCTAAAAAGCGTATGTACACTCTTAGAAAAATTTTTACTTTTTTGAAAAGTAAGAGCACTTTTCACTAGAAATGAAGTAATGGGAACTAAATCCAAAGTAAACTTTACTTTCAATAAAGTACGCGTTACTCTGGATTTAGTACCCATTACTTCATTTCGAGTAAAAAGTGCTCTTACTTTTCAAAAAAGTAAACATTTTTCTAAGAGTGTATGTACGAAGAATGTATTTTTTTCGGCGTCAATTAAAGCGCCCGAATTTCAGATACGCATTTGTAATAATTCCGGTATCATAAACATAATTACATATTTATGTACATGCATAAATGTAATTGCAATTACGTATATGCACATACGTATGCATGTACATATGTATATATCTATGTATGCATTTTTACCACAATTTGCAAACCAATACCGGTATTCATATTTATATGCAAATCTAATTTCACCGTTGTTGTAAATATGTAAGCTATTTCACTACATATGAATAAGTATTATGGAACAACTTATTCGCTTCATACGTTTGTGTAGTACTCACTGAGTACTACTCAGAACACCAAACAGGCCCAATTAAACAATTACATAAACGTACAACAAAGATAACTACGTAAATAAGGATAAGACCTGTCTCACATGCAATATGGTTGTATGCAAATATCTAATTCAAATCTACTCGATTCAATTGATTCGATACATGTAAAATTGATTTGCTAATCTTTACACCACATTCCAAAATCCAACATCAATTGAGTATCGATACGTTTTCAGTAAAAATTGATTGTCAGGATTGAGAGTGACCAGCATAAAAACCAGAATTCTATTAGTTGTACCCAACATATTGTCTCCTTAAACTGGGGCCACTTCTCCATTTAGATATTTTAAAATGACTCTTTCTGCAGAAAACGTGACCGCAATTGTGGACAAATTATATCAGAATGAGACACTAATTGCTAAAGTTCCCAAACTCCGAGCAGCTCTTGGATTACCTGACAGCGCAGAATGGAAAACTTTATATTCCAGTTTCGGTGTAGGAAGAGTTACTGCTCATACCCTCTTAACTCACATATTTTCTGAGTGGGTTGAGAAAAATGGAGAAGAGGCCAGTATGGATACGATTTCAAAAATTCTAGATACCCTTGGAGAATCTAGCATTATTGGTAACTTCAAAATTATTCCAAATGCATTAACGAATAATATATAAGTAGATATACTGTTGGAAATCTAGTATAGTTGAGCACGTATTAATATTCCCGGTGTTAAACTTGTTACCCTTTGGTATTACAATTATACCGGTTCGTAAGAACGTGCTAAAATATTAATATCTAGCTTAATACACGGGATTACTTACATATCAATGTCACGTTGATACAGTCATAAATACATACATTCATGTATGAATACAGCCGGTATTATTTTAATATTGCATTTCTAAGAGTGTACTATCTGTAAATCTTTAAAGCTCTAAATTAAAAAGTCATGAAACTGTGTATATGTAACATACAAAAAATTGCTGAATCACTGGTAAAATGCAACCTACAAACTGTATTATCTGCGTCTAGAATATCAATACCTACATATGTATGAATTAATTTGTTATTCAGATTTCATGGAAGGTCTCACAATCCGACAGGATAATAATATGGCCGTATCACCCCCTCCAGGATTGGGGAAGCTTGGTGCGAATTATGTTTAAGATGTCAATTTGACCTTTATGCATTATCAACTGGAAATAATTACAAGCCAATAAATCCCTCTATTTTATAGATCCAGGAAACACGATGCAATCTGAACTCGCCAAGTACAGGATGCGACGAATGGAGCAGACTTGGACACCCTCACTAAATTCCAGATTTCGCATTGGCCAAATTCCTGAACAGATTCAACAACAGATTTCCTCCTTGCCAATCTTGTCTGTTAAAGCTGAACTTATCGAGGTAAGTATATCTATACATATGTATGTATGTATATACATGCTTATGTACTCGTAATGAAATTGTTTAACTTACGGGCTGAATTATTTAGTCACATATTCCTTAGTTAAATATTCATATGTATTTAGTTAAATAAATATTCATGAATTTTATTGGAATTTTTTCAAACATGCACCGTGAAAAGTGGATTAGGTGTTTTGGCGGGAATTTTTAAAGTTAAAATGCTATAAAATGTCCTCGATAACAATTTATTTTTATCATAACCTACCTTAATTTCCACAGGCCGTGAAGAAGAACCGGGTCCTAATCGTCGTGGGGGAAGCAGGGTCGGGAAAATCTACACAGATTCCAAAATATTTGGCGGAAGCCGGCCTGGCCGAAGCTGGTCTGATTGGATGCACCCAACCGAGAAGAATTGCCGCCAAGTCACTGGCGGAGAGAGTGTCGGTCGAGTGTGGCACCACTGTCGGGGGCTTGATTGGATATGTAATCCGATTTGAAAAATGTGTTTCAGCCGACACCGTCATTAAGTTTATGACGGACGGCCTCCTCGTCAGAGAGTTTATTCTGAATCCTAATTTATCTGGATATTCCATCCTCATTATTGATGAGGCACATGAAAGGACCAAATACACCGATATCTGTTTTGGTAGGTTCGAAATTTATGGCGCGAATTTTTGCAATTCAATTGCAGCCATTAGAGTGCAAACCAGAGGTCCGCGCCTCTAATCATTCGCAAACCTAAAATTGGTCCCGAAAACTGGTCCGCGTGCTCTGACCCTTGGTGCAATGCAAACCATGCTCAGTCCCATTTTTTGCGACTCGCTCGATTTAAACTGTTTAACGTTCAGATACAACAGGGATTTTGTGATTTTGCCTGTTAACGTAACATACTTATATACATAAATTTACAATGATCTGCAGGGCTTTTGCGAAATGTACTGAACGAGAACCCCAACTTAAAAGTAATCATATCTTCTGCCACCCTTGACAAGGAAAGGTTCTCGGCTTACTTTGACAACGCTCCTATTTTTACGGTCTCCGGCAACATGTTCGAGGTGGAAGAAATTTATGACCAGTTTTCCCGAGATCAGTTGAGTTATCTTTCAGGCGTTGTTGACAAAGTGTGTAGCGTTCATTTCAACGAAGGACCTGGTAACTGAATAATAATTTATCAATTACATAAGTCCTAGATAAGTATGTGCATGTGAAGTAAATTAAACGTTACTAATATATTTACAGTTACTTGATTATGATTCATATTTAATTCTAAAGTTTTTCCAGGACATATTTTGGCCTTCCTACCTGGGCAATCGGATATTGAGAAAGCGTCAGAACAAATCTTAAGTCGAACTAGGAATCTAATGGGATCTCGTCACCTTTTGAAAATGAAAATCGTGCAATGCTATGGTCTCCTATCCTTGGAGAGGCAAAATGAGATTTTTAAACCAGCAGAGGAAGGATATAGAAATGTAAGTAAGCGTAAAGCATAGTCAAATTAGTCAACTGCTTCAAGTTTTTGATACTAATACGCATCTTACACCCAATGACAGGTTGTGCTTGCAACGAATGTTGCCGAAACTTCATTAACTATCCCTGGAATTCGGTTTGTCGTGGATTGTGGATTTTTTAAACAAAGTGAATACGATCCAAATACTGGGATCGAGGAATTGAAGATGAAGCGAATTACACAGGTGCACAAACTTAACATGTTCTAATACGCGGCAAAGCAAAGATGTTTTTAAAAATTTAAAGTAGTTTTTATGTAAATTGAGAAGGGCGAAAGTGTAACACACATTAACAGCTTGTACACTGCTCATATTCTTTCCTACAGCCGCAAGCTACGCAGCGCAAGGGTCGAGCTGGTCGAACTGAAAAGGGTAAAGTATATCGCCTTTACACCAAATCCGACCTAATCAGCACATTTCCGTCAACCGGGCTTCCCGAAATCCAACGCAGCAACTTGGAATCCGTTGTTCTACAACTGACCGTAATGGGTTTCAAGGACGTTTTCAAATTTCAATTTATGGACACTCCACGATCCGACGCAGTTTGTGAGGCGTTAGAGAAGTTGCAGGACCTTTCTGCACTGGACGAAGAAATGAGGTTGACCCCCATGGGTAGACAGATGGCGCAATTCCCGCTCGATCCTAGCCTGGCAAAGATTTTGGTGTCATCTTCAAAGCTACGTTGTTCTGAAGAAGTACTAATTATAGTATCGTTCCTCTCCATCCAAAATCAAAGTCTCTTTAATCAAGAGAACTACCAGGCAACAAAGGACCTGGTGAAGGCCTCAATGCACAAATTCAGCCATCGCAGTGGTGACCAGCTCATGTATATCAATATCTACGAGGAATGGAGATCAGCTGGACGCTCAAAACATTGGTGTGTCCAGAATCACCTTAATGCCCAATTTCTTGAAGAGGTTCAAAATATTAAGGATCAGTTGGCTGAGATGATGAAAGGGTGAGACATTTTTTCAGTTTTTCTGCAAACCTTCGTCTTTGGTAAATGTTTAGATGTCATGTGACCAATTTGAAGATCAGATTTGGTGACTTCACAAAAAATATAATCTCCAGACGGATTATGTATTTTTATGCTTTCAACACAAATACCAAATTAGTAGTTTTCACAGGTTACTTAGCCAGAAATAAGTCGTAATAACTACTTTTCTTCAATCAGGCTGCACCTGCCAATCGTGTCATGCGGATCGAATACAGTTGCCGTCCGTCAGGCCATGTGCGCGGGTTTCTTCCGCCAGTTAGCCAAACGCCGTGGGCAATATGACTACGCTAAATACCCAGACTCTGATCGAGTACGTGGAAGTTTTTTCATCCATCCGTCAAGTTCCATGTTTCCGGTCCGACCAGTTCCTTCATTCGTTATGTATGCAGAGATGTTCCGAACCAGCAAGATGTACATGAAGGGAATCACAATCATTGATCCATCTTGGGTGGCTAGTGAAGCGCCAATTTATTATAAAAAGATGAGAGCCCTTTACCCAAACTTCGGGTGATTTACATACTAAAGGTCGTAATGTTCACGAAAATGTTATTTTCGTGAACCGTAAAATGTTATTAACAGAATTTTCTAAAATTAAATTATTGAAATCCAAAGTATTGAAAAGTATTATTACAATAAACACAGGTTGTGAGAAACTCTTATTAAATATCACTATATGAGCATGTATGTAAATTGGCGATGGAGCTTCATATAGCTTGACTTCTACTTTGATAGTGGCTGAGCTAATCCTTATCCTTAGTGTCTGTTATAACTATTTATTATAAATTTAATTTTAGCTACTTATTAATTAGTGGAATTTGCATATTCTGGGCCAACTGCGCTCCTTAAGCACTGGAATTTAATTCCTAGCCGTATGAGATTAGGTAAATATATATTATATGCTTGGTACCATATATCACAAAACATATGTGCTCAAATATGCATGTTGTATACATATTTCATGTCTGAAATTGTATTTGAAATATATGCACGTACGTTTATTTGGGTTGACGTGCACAAGTCGAAGCCCAAGGTTGTTCTTTTCGGTAATTGGATTAACCTATTATTAAGTATTAAGTCTAAAACTTTTCTTTTTCGTCCAATTTACTTTATTTTGTTCTAACAATAGCCAAAAATTCTCGACCCGCACATAATCTTTCCAACCCTGCTCTGTTGTCGTGAACAGCCTCCACAACCATCTACAATGTTTCACAAACTCGGCCTAGACTTACTTCGTCGGCAAGTGCACGTTATGCAGAGGAGTTCATTTAATAAAGCGTACTGTTTTGAGTGGAACGCTAAAACGGGGTGTGCCACTCTCCTTCGAAAAGGGCGAAAATATCGCTACTTCCAAGTTATCTACTTGTCCTTTACCTTCCTTGTCCTACCAGCATCCCTGATCCGAAGTTTTCAGATATTTACGTCCAATGAGCAACCTTCACTCGAAACTGGTTTTGCTTACGCATTTACTTTTTTCATTTTGACATTTGCCCCAATCTCCTGGGTTTTAATTACAAATTACGGAGCGTTAAAGTATATTAAAATATTCCAAGCAACGCTTACCTTTGATAAAACCCTTTCAGGTGTGTTTATTTACCTAAATTTTTAATAGTTTTTGAACGGTATGCTAATATTTCCAATCTCACGTTCAGATAACATCTACTCAGAAGACTATTCTATGGAACCTGATCTTATACAAGTTGTATTGAAATCCACTTCATTGACACATAACTTTCAATACTGGATTAATTATGTAATGCCTTTCTTAAGTTTCTTTGCCAGATTTTCCTCCTCAAATCCAATATATTCAATTGTCTCACAAATTCGGGAGATAATTGTGCCAAATACGAGGGAAAGTATTTTTCATTATGCGAGACAATTTTTGGTTGGCATATTTTCATGGATTTTCACTAATTTTACTTTCTGGGCTAGGTACTGGTTTGTTAACAACATTTTTTGGAATAATCTGCGTTTATGGATGGACCAAGTTTCTAACGCCTCGTCGCGGCGGTAACCTTCGGGGTGGATTGAGTTTCGAGGAAGGTATTAAAATCTACAAAAGTCTCCGCGTATTGTGCATAATTCATTCCAAAATGGCTCGAGATTTTGTTCAGATATGCATGCATCATGCTGACCTTGTGGTATACTCCAGCCTGGCAATATGGTTCTTACTGCGGCATATCATGGCCAATGAGCCTCTATCAGTTTTCATAATTTTTGGAACTAGTTCAATGGTTGTTGCATTCTTTGTGCTGGAATGGTTTTTAGTAAATTTCATGGGTAGGACGTCAACCGCGTCGAAAAAGTACCTTCATAGGATGCTCAAGTACGAGTGCGGTGGGAATAAATTTAGACGAAAATTATTGACGTCACTTGTACCAAATTGCATAAATTTGGAGCTCATTGGATCAGTTGATACTATTAGGAATGGAATTCAGCTTAATTACTTTCTCAATTTTGTGTCCAGAGTTACCGATTGCACGCTTCGGTTATTGCTAGCAAAGAACAAGGCTGACATACTGTTATAATTTACTTGTGGAATAAATATTATAGTTGATGTATGAGTTCCAGATGAAATGATTTGGTAAAGTAATCGACAAGTGTTAAAATTTGATCAAAGTTCACGATTCGTGGACCACGAAGGCCTATACTGTACTTAAACCATTGGGTAGACTTATCATATTTAAAAAAATATATAACATCGCGAAACTTTAATAATTTAATTTTGAATTTTGACGTTTTTTTAAAAATTACATATGGTACATAAAGTCTATCATATCTGAGACTTTAATTATTTTTACTTCTTCGTGATTTTTAAGCATCTCTTGGATTACATTTACGAGTTATACATTTAATCATGGCCTTAATGTTCTACGCCTAAGTAGATGACAATTTTCCCGACATGTTTCTGATAAATAAGTATGAATGTGCTTGATAGTAATAAATACAGGGTAAATACATTCAGTAAAAAGTGTGTAAAACGTTGGCTGAGCACATATTTATTAACGCAACAAATCAGAAAACTGTCGCCCTGACAAATATGAATGCGAACCAAAATCTTACACTATCCCACTTTTAAAACATGTAATTATAAAACTACTGAAGCTACTAAATTAACCTTTTCAATAAAAAAATTTACATGTCCATTGTATTTATGCGTGAAATCCGGCACATTCAACACTCCAATTCTAGTTTTAACAGTTACCACTGTTAAGTTAACTATGGAATCACGGATTGGTAAGGGAGCGAAATAAATATGAATGAAAGCTTGCAACGACTCTACATATTGGGCCTCCTCAGACACACGAAAAAATCGTCTCTTCGAATTTCGCTTTGTTTTTCGCTTATCGATAGCATTGCCAAAATTATGAAAATTGCAAAATTTTGTTGAGACTTCAACTAACCGACCTTAACCCCACTTCTGAGTGGAGTTTTTGGTCGCTTATCCGAGAGCTCGCTTATCATGAAGTAAGCGAAAAACGAAGCGAAATTCTAAGCGACGATATTTTCGTGTGTCTGAGGAGGCCCATTGAATGGATTTGGGCCAACTGTAAGAGTCTTACAGTAAGACACTGATTACTCCACCTTTTGTCTACAATATAATATACCGCAGTTAAGATCTACGTGTGGGTCTAAAAATATGCCTTTCATAATTAAAACCATAAATAAATGATGGTATATAGGCATACAGACACGTGGAATGATACGTAAGGCTACGTCCACGTGGAGTGATAGCTGCAAGTCCCTCAGACTGTTCATTAAGCCATGATTATCAATCAAATGATTAAGCTACTTATCATATTGATCGATTTGCTTGAAACTGTCACGTACATAATAAGAATTAAGCTAGAGAGGAGTTACACCCAGTCTTCTAAAGTGGTTACTGAGGTCAACAAAAAGCTACAACCATGTTCACATCGGAATTCTACCCTCTTCTAAAACTACGATTAAACTTTTGCCACATATTGAAATGTACAACGTTTAAGTTCGACAATAAGAAAAACAAGTTGGTGAGAATTAAGTCATCTCAACGTCTTAGGATGTTCCGTTATCAATGCATAATTTCAGTCATTTATTGTTTCGTAATGTTTTGCAACGTCTTCTTCGGCCCAGTGACATTGGCAGATAGATTTATTGGTCTTGCATTTTTGGTTGTGTACTTCATTGCTGTCATTGTGAGGAGGGACTACAAACTGGAAAACTCTTTTCTTCAATTGATAAACACGTTTCTGCTTTTCGAAGCGGATGTAATGAAAGGTTTGTGATTCATATTTTATGCGACCCATGCAAGTAAACATAACCTAATCGAATTCTAATCAACAGATTTCCAAAATTGCCCACTTACAATTGGCGAAAAAGTGTCGAAAATAATGGTATCATTGTGCGAAGCTTCAATCGCAGTTCTTCCTGCATTGCAGTTTGTTCTCTTAATGTACGCTCCATGCACGTCACCATTCATTTTGTCCATGTTTCCGAATTTGTAAGGAGATTACGACCGATTACCACTGGTACATTGTGTGGATTCACAGTTTTGAAACCTGGATGTGCTATCATATGCTAGTTTCTGGGTCGTCTGGCTTGCTTTATGGTCTTTTCGTTGGAATACTTTGTCTCATGAGTTACATCAAGAAGCTGGGAAGGTATTATATTTTTTAATTTGTTTTTCAGTCTTTGGATTACGCAAGTTGTTTGGTCAACTTTTTGGCAAATCCTTAATTGCTAATAAATGTATGATGACTTGTATGATATACTATTTAGTATACTCTAATTCTGTGATGATGACTTAGAAAATCGTGACTTTTTTTTCCTGGTCGGCGACATAAAAGTTTTTAGCAATTTGGGATTAGTCAAAAAATTGACCAAACACCTTGCATAAATCCTTGGATTGATTACTATAATTCAATTACTTACTACAATTAAACTCCCGTAATTTCAATCGTTATTATTTTGTAACTTCAGAAAAATTTCTGCAAACAGTAGCATCAACGACAAAGAGGCCAGTGTCCAACTATACCGAAGAATTCAGATACTTGAAAAATCTGTGAACGCATATGTAATGGACAGAATTATGCCAGCATACATCCTTGGCGGTCCCATTGTTCAAATTGTCTCCATGTTCGCCTGCATTAATCTGCATAACGAAATAAAAATGCCGGGATTCATTCTTTTCCCAATGTTAGCGGTGGACGCGATTTCTGCAAACACCATCAGCCTAACACTGGCCTCTTGCGTATATAGGTTTTCAAAGCAGGTGCTTCAGCGGCTAAGAAATGTGTCAACCTGTTCTGGCTGTAATAAGTTAACGAAGCGTGAAATGAAATCGATTTCGATTTTGAAGATTAAATTTGGATCGAATTTCATCGATCGAAAAACACCGCTCGTCATACAGAACTTCTGTCTTACAAGGGACACTCACGACCTGTCGTTTGAGTCCAGGGTACCCACTATGTTTTTTAGAATCTACTAAGACCCCAGATGAAGGATTCATTCATATTTCCGTGTAAAACTCATATTTGACGCCATGGCGTGGCGCCAAACTTAAAAATTTGCATTTTCGACCAATTTCAAACCCCCATAACTTTTGCAGTTTATGTCAGATTTTCAAAATTTTATGCTTAAAATGATCACAGAGGTCTAAATTTTTGAGAAAAAAATAAAAATAAAAAATTTCTAATTTTTGAAATTTTTTAACATTTTTTCGACGAACCCCCATTTTTAAGAAAATTACGAAATTTTGCGAAAAGTTGAAAGCGATAATTTTGGAAAAAATTTCATGGGATAAGAAAGTCGAACTCCTTGTCATGATTTTTGCCAAATATTTTGAAAATCCGTCCAGGATTTCAAAAGTTATGGCGGTTTCAAAAATAAAAACATTCAAATTTGGCGAATTTGGCGCCACGGCACGACGCCAAATATGAGTTTTACACGGAAATATGAATGAATCCTTCATCTGGGGTCCTAGTAGATTCTAAAAAACATAGTGGGTACCCTGGACTCAAACGACAGGTCGTGAGTGTCCCTTGTTAGTAAAACTATGATGTTGACATTGATTAGGTCAAAGCGAAAAGAATCTTGACAATAGTGTACAATTCCAATGTATGCACAACGATTTAGAATGGCGTTGTTTATCTATTTCACAATGGAAAAGTAATCCCAAAAATTAATATGTATAATTTTACACATTAAAATATGCATGCATATGTATGCACATGTGATCATAGGGATATATCCGAAAAGATGTACATTTGTATTACAGTGTAAATTGTATCTCGTTGCTTTCCTTGAATCGGTGAATAAACAATATATTTATAGTCAGAAATATTTTCAGGGATAATATAAATTTATGCATACTAGATTGTATTTATAATGTGCTAGCTTTCAATGACCCACGGTCATCTTCATCAGGCTTAACCCTTTAACGTGTATAAATAACACCAAGAAATTGCATTGATTCGGGGACGCTATAAGTATGTTGTGGTCATGGCGCGAGAGGAGAAATTCAGGAGTTTTAATAAAACTCGAAAAACTGGAAAATCAAAAATTTAACATTGTATTGTATAAGGAAATATCCAAGTTTTCGGGAAGAAAATATTCTAATTTAGCATTGTGTTGGCATAGGAGAAATCCCTCAAAATTGCAACAAATTTTAGGTCCCGGAGAGAAAATGGTGAAAATCAATGACCTCCTAGAAACGACAATTGTCTTCCTTCCGCGCCATGACCAAAATTTTTTAGGACGACTATTGTCTTCCTCCCGAATTAAACCATTTCTTATAAAACGACTATTGTCTTTGTTACGGTTTAAAGGGTTAAATATAAATATTTTGTTAAATAACAATATAAAAAATCATTCATTTTACACATCAATACAGAAAAATAGAAATTTTACAGTAAAATACATTAAATACATATACATACATGTACATATGTATGTGTATATTTTGTAACCAATAGCCTCACAAAATTCTCTATGAATAAGCGTTCCGGGTAGCAGTTCATGTACATATTTATATACTTCAGTATGTCGGCAATTAGCCTTAAATGCGCTACCGCCGCTGGCCTGGCTGTGTCTATTAATGAGTAGTCTTCGTCACCCCACATAGTACATACATACTTCAGTATTTTTCAGTGGCGCGACAAGCCAATGAGGAGCCTGGATTTTTTTACGAATTGTACGGCCTATTTTATAACCATTAAAATTTATTACCAGTCAGGCTAAAATCAGGGTTTTAACTGGTCGAACCTAACTTTACCAGGAAAATGGGTGGAAGTACATTTCTCCGATTGTCCTTGTTTAAAACTTCATCAAACTCGCTAGATAAATGCCACGAAATCGAATTATATGGTGTTTACTTGCGGTTACAAAGCATACATGCAACGTGAAAATGTATGGATTCCGCAAGGACTAAGTACATGAGCTTATTCAGCGATGGGAAGCCTAGGGCTCGTGGCCTTTTGCCTCGGTCTCTCTAAAGATTTTGAGGTCGAGGCCAATCAGGTCTGAGGCCTATAATTTGAAAACTAGAGAGACCGAGGCCGGCCTCGCAGAGGCATAAGATTCCCGATGTAGGGCCAAGGTAGTTTAAACTTTTAAATGCTTTAATTAATTATTTTTATCCAATTTTTAATTCGTATCTTATCTCATGCAAAACGTAGTTAGAGCTGTATAAGATCGAGACATGACAATCTTTGACTCATAGGCTTGTTTTGGGTCTACTTTTATGTACCTGGCTGGCAGCTAGGGAACATGCATATATTACGTCATCAAAAACGTGGATGGGTGATTTTGAGTCTTCTATGTTACTTAAGCTTAGCATATGTAGGATAAGGAAGGGGTATAGGGGTGGTTTAAAAATTGATAGTTTTTGATGACGTAATATATCGACGTCACCATAGCAAGCGATTTGCCTCAGGAAGTTCAAGGTCCAGTTCAAGGCCATGGATTAATACGAATTCAATTTTTCTGTGCCTTCAAGAATTTTTGTGACCTGGTTGACCGTCCCCTTGCACTACATACGTTTTCGCTCATCACTGTCAATGTGTCATTTTATGGTAAGGTAGACACCTTGCGATCAATTTCGATTTTTATTGAGCAACTGTAAACTTTCGGATCTTACGTTTCGGTCAAATGTAGCTAAAAGATTGCAACACCGATCCGTCCAAATATTTCGAAACACGATTTCTGATAGGCAATTGCATGGGGACTTCAATTAAAAATAGTACAACGTTCTAAAACAAGAAGGCAACTGTCAATAATATCTTTTTTCGAGTAGAAATCGCTCGACATAACACAACGTAATATGTCAGAGCAGAAACTGTATGGGGAAGTAATTAGTGTTTTTTGGCCTTTATACATGCATATACATATGTATATCTCGTACATTACCCATCTAATTTCTAGGGTCCATTACGACTTTAACGGTATGGAGGAGTTAAGTATGCCGGCCGGTTGCGCTATTTCAAAAGATGCGAATGACCAAAGTTTGAAGTACTGTTTTTCGCTTCATCGTGGAAACGAGTTGTTCATGAAAAGTACACACGATTTGATTCCGAATATTACCGACTGGAAGACGCAAACTCAGGTCCTACTCTCCATCGAAGCAAAGTGTGGATTCTACCCAGATTGTGCGAAATCTATGCCAGTCCGAGAGACTGACTATGCTTGGCAGATATTTTACGGTACAATGGTGTGTTACAGATATATATATTTCATCGGACCTGGCACGAAGAGAAATAAAAGTTGATTATATCTCATCCGATTCATGTTTCATTCAATTATATGTCATTCATACTTCAAAAACTGCGGTAAAATTTAGTTTATTAACTGATTAATTATTGATAATAAAAATCGATACTTCATTTGCCTCATTGTGATTGATGAAACTGTATGATATTTCTTGTCGCACCATAAACAAAAGGGCAGACTCAGATTGCAACCTCTCCCTCTCAAATAAATTTGATTGAGATATCGTTGCAAATTGTGTGTACATATGCACATGTTTTAAATTACAGAACCATTCATGGATACAAATACAATGTGTGTGCATATGTACATACACACATATTTATAGACATATTTACATATGCATGTAGCTGACTTGATGGGGTAGCCTCCACCCTTCTTTTACACGTTTTCATTAAATATCTAAATTACATACTTTTCCCTTCTGTCATAATTTAGACATGTATATGACCTGTCTCCCAATACTAAAATTCTTTATTTCGTTTTAATGTAATGTATGTATGAGTGACGATAAAGCAGCCAACATATCTCCAGTAATTTTGTGGTATATGTACATATGCACGAATTAGCATGTACGACAGATTATGTGTATATGTTTAAGATTCGTTATGAACATGACAAAGTCACAATTTTGCACACACATACCGACGACACTTTGTTCGAGATGTGGCTGCTGTCAAGTTGCCACGTCGACAGCAGAAGAATTCAATACATATGGCAAATTGTGATAATTTAGTGAACACAATTTATTAATAATTGGTAAGTTATAATCCTAAAAAAATAAAATTATAACTTTATAAGTTCGTTATTTGTATGTAGAAGTACTTTTTACACTAAAAATCTGGTAGAGTTGCATATGCACTTCGTATTGGTATTGATTTTTTAAAACTTCTTACCGGATTTGCAATAATTTGTTTCCGAGTGACAAATTTGTCATTACCAAAACATTACTAAATGGTAATACCAGTTATTATCAGTACCGGCATATACAGATCTGTACTCCGGTCAGTAATGACTTAATACCAGTTTTCTGAGAGTTTAGAAATGGTATCTATCTTCCCATAATTATTGCGTCACATTTTTAATACTATTTAATTTGTTAATAACTCGTCAAATATTTTCATGATTTTTCTAGGAAATCGTAACCGTTGCGTGCGATCATACCTTGAACGCAATTGTGTGTTTGTTTGAATGTGCATACAAGTTTTTTAACGCTGCACCAGTTAGTGAATAAATAATTTTGACCCAGGTAAGTACCTGTTTTTCAACCTACTTTATCTTTCGTATGTAGCTTTATGCAACTTTATTAGCAGGACTTTTAATGTCACGTAACAATGATGATGTCAAAATTGGGAAGCAACATTATATGTCACTAGTGGTAATATGCATGCAATTACGATTTGCATGAATTTGTCCAAAATGAATTTGTTAGTTTATTAACTTTTAAACTATTTAATTTTAATTTAATTTTGTCAAATTTTGATGCAAGTACATCATCAATTATAAAATATCGTAATTCATAGAATCATCTACGAATATACTTATTTCTGAAACAATTAGCATGAGAGATCCACTGATGAGACATTAATTACATTTTTGTTTTTAAATGTTTAGCATAATCTACAAAATGCATTGTTCTCATTTCAGGAAATCCAATTTGACCGAGGCGAAATGATGGTCCACTCCCTTGTCACATTTCTTCACTATTCGATGGACAATAACGTCAAACTAAGTCGGACCTTTCCAGGGTTGCCTCACCGTTTGTGAGAAAAACTATTGTTTTGTTCCAAGCATATTTTAATTTCTTACGTACATACATATGTAGAACCAACGGCAATATGTCAATTGGTTGTGTAACAAAAAATGTTTGGACAGTTAATTTAACCACTATGGCATTTATGAAACATTAATATGCATCTTGACTTTATAAATGTAATTCAGTATGTAACAACACTACGTGACAGATACTTTTGCAAAAATGCCATTTTTAGAAAATGTGCAGATTTCATGTACATACATACATAAATTATATAGTCAAAAAATCAAATTCAAAATCCTACAGTTTTGTATCCCATTCGGGGTTGAACAAAAAAATTTATAATTAGGTATGCATATTTGATTTATGAAGATACATACTTAACCTACATGTTTTGTATGTGATCGTAAAACGTACCATTTTTGAATGAGACGTGCTATTCGTTTTATAAACTTTGGGTTTTGATGTTAAGTTATGTGGAAAAACAATAATTTCTCTTCGGAAATCCCAGTCCACGAGTCTTCCACTCGCAATGAATCCATTTTCAATAAATTGGATAGCATCCATCAAACGGGCAAAATTCCCGTCGGGAATTCGTACTTTGACCCTGGTATGAACCATGATGGACCCCCTGGGGTGGGAGAAGCCAGATGCAAAACTTTTGACTAGTATTACCGTATGTTGCATCCTTTGCATTCTAAGTATGTAATATTTCGATCGGCTTAAAATTGCAAACTTTTATACCCATCTCGTCCTGTAAGTTTAAAACATTCCATGCCACAATTATTTGCATTAATGTATACATAGTGGGGTCATAAGTTCCCGTGAATGCATTTCCGGTGATAAATATCAAAGTATTAAAGCTATCGGTTCGAAATTTTTATGGATTAACAAGGTATTAATATTGTTTAGAAATCATAACTTCTTTTTCAAGGTTTCGTCCAAGGGCTTTTAGATAAGACATAACTCGTGACGGCCACTGCTCGATCGTGGTACGCGCCAATTTTCGTGCCAAAAGTATTTCAGACTTTTCAGCGTTGGCGAAAAATTTAATAGAAGAAATGGCCAGATATTTGTTCTACGGAAGTCTGACATCCGTTTAAGTATGCGGAAGTCAATACGAAGTCATCACCATGGTGTGAATGGGAGCAAGTTGCCTGGAGAAAGGAAATCTCTGTTTTTTACCGCAAAGTGTAAAAGTTGGAGCCAAGAATTATTTTCAGAGTGTCCTAGAGCCAAACGTTAATAATCTGTACCCTGGACCCTCCGAAAATCAACATTGGACCTTTCAATAAGACTAAGTTCCTGCGCAAGGTCCAAAATTGTCCAAAACTTGCTTCAGACGAATTTTCATGACTTTTTTTATCCGTAGAACGGTGCTCAGCATCTGCAGATCTTCATGCGCTAAATTATGACTGGTGATCAAAATAATAGATATAGATATGCTCTAAATCTCACCCAAGTGTGCAAGGCCTGAGGTCACACTTACTTAAGATCTGGGCGCTTTTCCCACGAAATCCGCGCGTGCCGCGATCGAGCAGTTTCCGCCACGACTTATGCGTTGTGTACAAGCCCGAGGAGGAAATTGTGAAAAAGAAGTTATGATTTATAAACAATATTAATACCTTGTTCATCCACAAAAATTTCTATCAGATAGCTTTAATACTTTGCAATCTATCACCGGAAATGCATTCACGAGAACTTATGGTTGGACTGTGTATACAAATAACTCAACCATCTATGTAAGCACGCTTTCTATAACAGTAGGATCAGTATGGTATTCGACTCCCACATTGGGAAACAACTTCAAGTGAAATCATTTTAGGCTTTGGACATGCATAAGATTTAGGCAGCATTTCTGCTTTTTCAGCTTTGAATTTTCCAGGCACTTTATTATTATTATTTGTAAGTATAAAATGATCTGTTGGATAATTGCTTGTGTCAAAAGTATTCAGGTCAGCAAACATGTCCTCATAAAGGTTAGCAGTAAATACTTCATAGATAAAACCATCAGTATCTATGTTAAGCAAACTGCATAACATGGATACTGGACATGAGCATGGACGTGATTACTTAACCCCCTTGTAGTTGTATAGAAATGCATACACTGCTATTTTCTCACATCTTCCTACCGATATAAATTGATGTGCATAATTTTATCCCACTTTTTTTACAAGAATCCCCGACACGTATCTATTTGTTGAATGTCTGTCATGTGCGGGTTCGACGAAAGTTGTTAAGGAAAGTTTGTAATTTCACCTCCACGAAATTCTGAAAACCGACATTTTCCGTCGGAGACTCGTAGATAGTGATACTCCGTGGGTGTTCTTGTGATTCACCCGAACCCTGGAAACAATTTCATCAGGCAGGACAAACGTTTTGCGTGTAACAATAGTAGTATTGAATTTATTGTAATTAATTCAATTCTGTAACTAACCATGATTCGGTCCTTATTTTGAGGTAATTAAGTTCTGGGAAACTTATTTATAATCATTATTTTCGCCAACACAGAAATTCTTACTGAGAAACCGGAACACCAGGGTAAAGGAGAGCTAGTAATTTGTGGTATATATTTGGATGGGAACATTTCTAGAATCATGAACCTGCAATGACAAAAAAGACCGGCTTAAATACGTTTTTATATTCAGGAATATAAGAAGAGGCTTCACAATTTGACAATTAAGCATGAAGAAGAAAGTCTGACAATAAGTTTGGGTGAGGCGAATTTGTAACACTAGAATGTCGACTAAGGTTAGTGATAATATTGCTATCGATATTGTTAACTACAAGTGAAAAGTATGCATGCATGTATTTAACGAGGAATAAGGAGAAAGAGGACGGCAAATTTCCATGAAATTTCCATCTTATTAATATGAACGTAAAGGACATGCCATTGTTAGCTTGTGGCTGAAAAGGTAGCGGGTGGTGGGTGGCACATGACGGATCGCGTGAAGGATACAGAGCGGATGGGCCTTCTAAAATTTGTTTTCGCCTTTTGATTGAAATTTTTGATTGAAATTTGATTTCGCCTTGTAAATGTTTGTGAAGTAGGGACTTTCCCGGATTTGTTGTTATGGTGGAGGGACGGTGGTGGTATCCTCCAGACAGGGTCGTTTATTTTTAGTTATGTGCATTGACCTGAAATATATATGGACGAACCATGTGGGACAAACAACCCAATGGGAGGGAAATCTCAACCATACATTTGCAAGATCTACATAGGTACATTAGATAAGATGGTCATTGTAATATAGGATATATGTATGTTTCATAGGTTAGGGAGAGTTTATGTAGATACCCATACATCACAGAATATAGATTCTACCAGAAGAATCGATCTTATGTATTCGAGTGACGCTTATAGAGGAACGGGGAGAGCCAACCAAATAACTCGGTGTACATTTGGCCCACCTGGGGGATGGCACCTCCGCATCATCATCATCACCACACCTCCTGGCATCAAAAAATGATGATGAAAGCACATAGGTGGCGGTGGCACCCCCATTTCTGCACCAGAACACACCATTCTGAGCTGCGTCTCCACAAATTTGATGCTCTACGAGGGTGTGTTCTGGTGCACAAATGGGGGTGCCACCGCCACCTATGTGCTTTCATCATCATTTTTTGATGCCAGGAGGTGTGGTGATGATGATGATGCGGAGGTGCCATCCCCCAGGTGGGCCAAATGTACACCGAGTTATTTGGTTGGCTCTCCCCGTTCTTCCATAAGCCTCACTCGAATACATAAGATCGATTCTTCTGGTAGAATCTATATTCTGTGCCCATACATGTATAAATGCATTTTCGGGATAGCTGTGATTTCGATGGGCTAGTCCGCTGAAATAACAAATGACAGCGAATTGTCTATACTATGAAAGCTAAACAAAAACCTCCATGGGACGCTCTAAATATATAATTACATATATAAATATATTCTAAGAATAGATTAAATTATTAATTCATCCTGCCGGTGGTATTTGGCGGGCATGAAGGGAAATAGACAACTAAGAAAACCAGAGGTATTTCGTGCCGTAAGATATTCTCCCCTGCAAGTCTGGGGAAAATCCCCCAAACGGGACGTGGAGGACGGGTACAATTCTGCCTGAAAGGCGGTGGGGTTAGATTGGTTCCTCATCACTAAGCCGGTATGACAAGCCTGCTGGAAGCCAGTCCAGGTTCGGTTCGCGATCGATTCTTGTTACACGTGAGCTCCCGGAAGTCTTCAGGAGTCATAAGTTTTGTCCACTGACTCGCCTCGGCAGATTTTTAAATTATTATTGACGTCGGCAGGCGGGTATCATAAGAATATATTTGGGCAATAGATATATGTATATATGCCCGAAGATAGTCTGCCACAAATCTTCATTTTAATTTAGTCAAAAACCTTTACCGTATAAAAACTTTCTTTGCAAGTGTGAGCAAGAAATAATTAAGGTTTATTTTGTAAGAATGTACGTTCATGTGAATAATAATTAACTAACAATGAGGAGGTCTGAGGTGATTATCGCAGATTTAAATCAACCATATATTCAGAGACCACTTTAATTTGATAGTTCAGCTCAATACTATTGAGGTTTGGTTTATCAATTTTCTGAGTGCTCAAATTTAGTAAAGTTACCGGAGTTGAAGTTGGCGAAATCGGTTCATTTTTTACTGTGCGAAAAGCAGGGTATTCCGACTTGGGTTTTAATGGGTTGTAAATGAATAAAACCCACTGGGTTTTACCATGTTAAGTGGGTTTTATTTGGGTTTTAATATGGTTTATTGGGTTTTAATTGCGTTTTACCTTAAAATTACATTGTAAAAGTTAAATACATCTCCTATACGTTAGAAGACGTTATCTCAATTCATTCTAAAGCAGTTTATTTCATTACTATTCTAGTATATGAAAATTAGGAACAAATCAACAATTAACTCCATCCTTTAGCATCACAGATTTCAAGTGTTATAAAACAAAAATAATTTCCAAATAGATACAAATTCGGAATTATTTTTGTTAAGTTTTATTACTTAAAACTAATAAACCCCATAAAACCCATTAAAACCCAAATAAAACCCAATTAACGTGGTAAAACCCATTAAACCCAAAGAAAACCCAATTAACATGGTAAAACCCATTAAAACCCATGGGTTTTATAATTTTTGATTAAAACCCTGGGTTTTTCCGAACCCTGGCGAAAAGCTCACTTTCG